TTTTGTGTAAATAACCTTGGGAAAGGTATGAATCCATCTCCCCTCTCCCAGTTAAGCATTAATAGTTGTTGAAAGCATAAAATTATGTACAAAATGTTTAGATTTCAGCATTAAATAACCCATAGAGGTGTTGATATGCCACCAAACAAAATCAACCAACCAAACACCCAGCACGAAAGAACTATTTCATGACATTATTCCATATTATAATATCTAACAATTTCTTAAAGAAATCAAAATGTATTCCAAAATAATAACTTCAACAAAACTACAACATAAAATATACATCACCACCTCTAATAATCATGTCTGCACAGATATGTATGTGCACAAAAGCTGAGTATCAGGTACCATGTATTCAAATGTAAAAGCAGAATAACATACATTTTATTTTTATTACTCCAAAGCCCTCAAGAAAAATTTTGGCATTAAATGACCCATAAACAAATCAATCTCTACCTTGAGGGGCTCTCTGGCCTTGTACAAATTGAACCAATGTAAAAAAAAAAAAGTCAGAGAGAATGTGTAGATATGGGAACATTAGCATTTAACAATACTTTATATATCAAAACAATTTTAGGAGAAAGAAGTGACAAAATGGAAAAAGCTTTCGTGTAACGCGTTTTCACTTTTCTTCATCCTTTAGAAGTTCATTGGACTAAGAAGTGTATGTTTACGTTGAAAGAAAAATAATCTAAAATAAATTAAATTGGCTAAATTATATACCAAGGTAAAAAAAAAAAAAAAAAAAAAAAAAACGTTAAAAAATGTATATTTTAAAATTCCCAGCGTCTCTCGTTTGTGCGCATGTGTAGTTTCATCAAAAGAACAAAACGCGTCACACGAAAACTTTTTCCACTTTGTCATATATACACATATATTACTGCCTATCTGCTTCTTTCTATATGACAAGAGAAATGGAACAAAGAATGAGCGGAGGGGTGGAGATGTAGAAGGGGAAAAGTAAGAAAAGAAGCTTTTAAGTTCTTGTAAAGAAAAGGCCTGTCTTGTTTCATTTACTCTTAGTTTCGTTTTCTATGTTCGCCGAACGAACAGAACACATAAAAGATGATGATCCCTTTGAACTTTTAAAATGGGTCAACCATCAATGTTTTTATCGTTTTTCGTTTGTTTTTTTTTAGCGAAGAATATAGGTTTTTTTTAAAAGTTCTTATGAGCTCTAAATGAACATGTGTAGTTTGTACATTTTTTTTTTGCTAGATTTCTCTCTTGTTTCTTTAAAAGTTAACCAGTTGTGGACAGGGTCATTTTTATATTTCATTCTAGATTCATTATTACGATTTATTCTGCTCCTCCTGTCAATTGGGAAGTCCCATAAAGAGACAGGTGTTGTTAGATGTAGTTTTGTTTAACAATATCAATGCGCCCAATCACACAGAATTTGTAACTGTAAATAACCGCACAAAAATTGTTCAAGCCCCCTCAGCATTGGCAACGCCTCAGGAGCCAGGTAATGACCCCGGGCTCCTCCCGAAGAAGTGGTAATGGATGGGGAGATGGAACCCTAAGGAGAGGATCGCATTTCACTCACCGGCCCGGCTTTACCTTTGTAAAGTTTTTTTTCTTTTTTAACTACACTTTTTGGAAACAAGTAATAATTTGAGTTTTTAATGATCACTTCTCTCAAGCAAGAAAGATCTTGATAGTTTTTTTTCTGTTTTCCGAATCTCTTTTTCGAGCCAGGAACTACACGTATCACAAGTTTTTTATGCAATACTGTATTTCATTTTTATTTGGTAGTAGTAGTGTAGATCAAAAAGAACAAGAAAGTAAACCAAAAAAGGGAAGTTTTCAAAATACTTCCTTTTTTTTTTTTTTTAATTTGTTATAATATGAAAATAAAATTTTATTAAAAAAATTCGTGGATAGCATGGTGCTCGAATAAATTAATTAATTTTTACCTGTTAGAGATTATTAAAAAAAAAAAAAAAAAAGTTTTTTGATAAAAACTTAAGTAGTTTCTGATTTGTTTTTTTTTAGTCTCTAAAATTACAATCAAATTCTTTCTCTTTTCTTTATAACACACTTTTTTTTAGTAGCCTCCACACTCCTGTTTTTACCAAGACTGATATCAGTATCAACTCAATTAGTTTATCAGTGATAAGTAATCAAGCTGGTTTCGGCTTCTTATCATGAACATTTTTTTTTTTTTTAATTTAAAGTACATGCTTTGTTATTGTTTGTTTGTTTTGTTATTCTTTTATTATCAATTAATACATTTTAATGTAATGTATTAAAAATTAAAAGAATAACGAAAAAAACGTTAAAATGATTTTTTGTAGGACATTTTTTTAGTCGGATACGAAAGCAAAATCGATGCGAACCTGATTTAATTTCAAATTTAATTTTTTTTTCTCAAAGAAGCTAGTATTATACAAAAGAAAAGAATTATTTAATTTACATATGACCTGAAGAAAACAGCAATAATATCACAAGTTGTAACAGCAGGACAACGAAATCATTAACATTTTCAATTTTCATTTTCCCATATCCTGATGTGAACCGATATTTTTAAATGCTTTTTAAAAATCCTTTTTTTTCCCTTGTTACTTCGTTTTCCATGTAAAAATTACATTCACGTCGCTTCACCATGTGACGTGAGTTTATTTTCATGGACACTGAACAGCACAATACGCATTGTTTAAACTTTATGGGATGGAGTTGTGTGTTTTACTTTTATTTTATGACCTTATTCTCCCAAAGAAACTTGAAACATAAGGAAGGTTCCATTCATTCCCTCTTTCTAACATCAGCACAACAAAAGTAAAAATTGCTCTCACATAAAAAACTATCCATAAAGACTTAGGAATAAATGAAAGTTGGAAACGAATAAAAAATAGTATAATCTTTATTCTTTTGTCATTCCAAGAAGATACACAGGGTAATAGTCTTTTACTTTTTACTGTCCTTTTCTTAATGTGGGATGCACATTGTTGCATGATGGACCATGTCAAGTCAACATAGCTTTTTTACCGTTTACCGGGCACACGGTCCTGGAGGTGCACAATAAAACCGTTGATTAATGGAATAAAGTCCAAGGCAAATACCTACCTAACCGATTAGATATTACCTTGAATTATATATATATATATATATATATATATATATATATATATATATATATATATATATAAAAAAAAAACATAACTGACTACAAAATAGTATGACTGTGATGCAATCTCATCACAATATTTTGACGATTATTTACACCTCACCTCGGGTTTTATTGAAGAGTCCTATCACCATTGAACTATTGTTACTACTTTTTATCTACCGTTAATAATTGTAATTAAGTTGAATTGAATATTGAAGAGGAATCTTGCGCAATAACAGTCGACTTTATTTATTTTAAATTATCAGTTGTTATTCTTAGGTTTTCTTTCAGTTCATCCTTCGCCACCGTAATTATCACTACCGTCCGTGTGTGTGTTTTTTTATTTTATTTTATTTAGTTAGTCAATTGTTTTCTTAATATCAAATTCGTTGTCTTCTTTCAGCTCAGGACGGTGTGCAAGATAAACACTCAAGCCAAGAACATTCTTAGTTACTTCACTTACAATCATCAAAGCATACTCCAGATCCTACCCTTCTTAGTGAATTACATGGAGGTATTGTCTAGTGGACAGATCTCCGGACACCAAACTGCAATTAATAATCGTCTTTCAACCTCGAAACGAATTTTTTTTTATGAATGTACATTTTTTAGCTAATATAAATGAATCTGAAATCATAATAAATAAATAAATAAATAAGAAGCCTTTTTTTTAGTTTTTAAGTTAACCCAATGCGATCTTTGGAACTGAACCGTTACTGAAAACTTGTAAAATATGAAGTTTACACTACAAATTTATTTTTATCTTTAATTTTAGTTTTTTTAAAATCTCCTCACCAAAAAAAAAAAAAAAACATTTCAAGTGCGCAAAAAAATCGTTTTTAGTTGGGACACTCGCAAAAAAAAAAATGTTAATTTCTCGGGGTACGATTTCGTTTCTTTAAATAAAAATATTTTTCAAACAATCTCCAGTTGTGGCGCATTTTGCAGAGAGTGGGGGGGATTTCTTGAAGTCGATAAATGAAAAAAGTCTCATTATTCTTGTTTACTGTCGTATACTGTTTGGATTAGGCAGACTTATCTCTAGTATATAGCCTTTATACTTCCTTCTAATTTTTCCCTCGGCTATCATATTCTATCTTTTTCTCCTTCTCTCATTCTTGCAGGATGAAGAAGAACCCATTTCTGTTCACTTTTTTTTTGCTTCTTTGATTGACCTTGAACTTGTACACCTTATTGATTCTCTCTACTAGTCCTTGACGGATAAATGCACACATAGACACACAAAAAACACCTTGGTTGATTTACTGAGAATAAAAACGGGGGGAAAAGAATTTCTAAAAATTCTAACTAAACCAATCATAGTATTTTTAATAAAATCAAAAGCAACAAAGGTATTTATTTACTTAAAATTTTAAAAAAGTACACAGCCGAAGAAAGAAAAAATAACCCTATTCGAACTGAATCGACATTGAATTCTGAGGGTTTAAAATAAATGAATTCGTTAATTCAAATTGTTTGGTTGTGTACTTGTCTTAAAACAAAAAACGTACAATTAATATCGAGGAAAAAAAAAAGTGTCATTCGATGATATTCAATTCAAAGATGTAATCTGCATAATTTTTCATTCATAGGATGTGGTGATGAAGCTTTTTAAATGAATCAATGAATATACAAAAGTAAAACAAAGATGATGTGTCTAAAAACTAAAAGTGTTTTAAAATGTTGTAAATCAAGATTTTACAAAACTAAAAGCAGGATATTTTTTTAATGACATGTAAAATTTTATCAATAAGAATAAAAAATAAAACACGCTTTTAAAAGGACTGGAAACCATAAAAAAAAAACCGTAAAAAATTTTGCTGGACCTGTTAATTCGCAGAAAAAAATCTAAGGTAGACAAAAAAAAATAGAATCAATTACTTACCGCCTCTTTCATTTTTCATCATTCCAATAGTTCCTCCAGTGTACAAAACCAAAACTTTGCTTATTGAAGTCACTTCATCTCGGAGGGATGTCAGAGATGTTGTACTCAAATTCCTGGTTAAAATCCTCGACATTTTTTCACGTGGAAATTTCTTTTTCTTAAAAATAAAATGATCCCTTCTATCTTTTTCTTTCTAACTTTTTTTTTTTTTTTTTAATATATTTTCGCCTTTTTTTTTTTTTTTTTTTTTTTTTTTTTTTTTTTCAAGAAACGAATCCCAAACAAAAACACACACTTGGGCAAACACCGCAGTTATGAAAAAAAATGCGTCTTTTTCGTTTAAAAAAATCCACTGAATTACGCGAACCTTGAAGTGATCTGCTTCCGTGTGCAGAATAAAAGAGCGAAATATTTTACTCCTCCTGCCGCTTACCTCCTGTCTTTCTTCTTTTGTTTTTCGATGATTCCCTCTCTGTAAAAAGCGTAAACAAGTCCAATAACCTTTCCTTAACCCTAAAATATAAATTATGTTACCGGAGTTAGACAACCAATTAACTAACTACTTTTTAAGTGGTTAAAATATTAACAACACTATTATTAGCTAGCAGCTGTAAAAATGATGAAATCAATCCGACTGGTCAATTGCGCTTAGAATAAAATCGATGGGACGTGGAGGAAATAAACAGAAAAAAAAACTTTAATTTAGTTACTAAAGCAACAAGTAGTAGTATTGTCACTCTTTTTAAACATTTAAAAAAAAAAAAAAGACCCAAGTCACTTTTTTTCACTAGATTAAAAAAATAAGTTAAAAAAATGAAAAGATCTAAAAACCGACATCAAAGAAAATGGGAACTAAAACTAAAAGGAAATGAGATTTTTATTTTTATTTATTTGTTCTTGTCAGGCTTCTTTCTTTTTTTTTACTTTAAAAAGTTAAAATTAACCGAAAATATGAAAACTGACCAACAAATTTAACTTTTTAAAAAAGAAAATTTACTAATAGCACACTTCTTATGAGATCGAAGCATGAATAAGACTGTTTTAAAAACGGCAAAATTTAAAAGTAAAACCCACAGAAGAAAATGAAAAAGAAAGAAACAAAAAAGCGTGGAATAACAAAAAAAAACACTAACTGACTAAAAAAAGTAAAAACTTAAAAAGAAAGTAAACTTTCGCTTTGTCGTTTGTTCTGAAAGCAAAGCCATATAAAGGCGCCGGTATTATTAATCAATTGTGTTTTTTAGTTTATTTATAGTGTATTGTAGTCCAAATTTACTTTTAAAAAAGAAAAAAAAACAACGTGTTTTTTGTTATGTAAAAGATGTGTTAATTTGGACGTATCTTTTCATTTCATAAACAATCTTATTTCAAAGTGTTCGTAAAACTGAACGTATGTCTGATATAGAGAAGATTCATCCCGGTAAATATTATTATTATCCCCTTAAATAAGAGAAGTTGGCAATGTAGTTTCAAAGATCGGTGAGGCTTGTGATCTTGAAACACTTCTCCTCTTTTATCTCTTTGGAGAAGAGAAGTCATTTAGTGTAGAACTCTAGCCCCTCCCTACGTCGCGCCTGCCGCCAGGTGCCTCACCCCCCACCCCCACACTCGTGAAATAATTTACTCCTGCCCTACTGTGAAAAAAATTGATGTGATGTGAACTAATTCTCTCTCTAGTGTACAAATTCTTACTCGCGCCTCCTCGACTTAGGGAAGGGCTGCACCTACTCAAAACAGTCTGTCGATGGGCTGACGTAAACTAAGCATGTTTGTTCATCATGTCTATATTTCTGAGATGGAGGTATCGTTAAAAAAAAAATGTTCATTTTTTAGGTTTGGTTTATTTTAGTTGACTAACAACAACCTGCTGCAAAGTCTCGTATTTCTGTTTTCAGGGAACCTAAGCTGGAAGTTTTATTTTTTAATTAATTTAAATAACTTATTTACATGCCGACTTGTCATCATGTTTGTTGATATCACAACCTTTTTTTACCGTTATGCCTGCCCTCCCTTCTTTAGGTGTAAACCTAACTGGAATTTCGAACTGAACTCTTTTTTAATAAAAGATTAAATAAAAACTTTTTATTTAATCTACGGGCCACGGGATGTTCTCATCCACTGCCCATGTCTATGGATCGCCTCTCTCTAGTTCTTTATTTATTGTTCGCCCCGTTTCCAAGTTCAAACTGTCCGACACAGAATTTCCAGGAATTGAACTCACAATTTTACTCTGTCACCAAATTCATGAATCAACGCTTTAATCCACTAGGCTATTATTGTCCCATGACATGAGCGTAGGAACGAGAACAAAGGGTTAAATTAAAACAAAGTTAAAAAGGGTCCCATTCGAAATTCCTTACCTGGAGTGACAATCAGCAAGAATCATTATCATCATTATCATTATCATCTACCTTCTTACAGCGATTGCTTCACAATTCCATTTTCTAATGTATAAAAATAAAATATATTTTTTTTATTCGTCCGCAAATTTTTACTATTATTTTTTATTAGACAATTTTTATCTTTTCCCTGTAACTTTCAGTTTTTTAATGTGTGTGCGTGTTGATATTTCTTTTTTTTTCTTTCTATGACTTTTTGACATGCCTCTGAGCCACGATTTAACTATGAAATTTTGAATATTCCTACTACAGGACACCATCCCTAATGCAATGAAATCCATAAGTTTCTGCTGAGTTTGTCTCCCCTCTTGTCAGGCTTTATTTCTTTTAAAATTTATCTAAAAGAAAAAAAAAGAAATGAAAGAAAATATCAAATTCAGGTCGTCAACATCGAATTCATTACGAAATATTCTAATCATTGGTTTGTGGGAGTGCTTTCTTTAAAAAATGTTTTAAAAAAAAAACAGAAAAAAAACGCATGCTGTGGCTGATAAAACACAAAAAAAACAAGATTGGTTTTTAAAAATTAACCCTAAATTTTTAGTTTCCATTTTTAGAGACTTGGCATGAAGAATTACTTGAATTCTTTTTTGAAGTTTAAACTGTTGATTTACTTTTTTAATGTGCAGGGTGGTCCGAAAGTCTTGTCACTCCCTACCTCTCTTCGAAACTGTACGAGTTCGTGTCAGCCATCTGGAAATAAAAAAAAATTGTTATGTAGTTGTGACAAGACTTTTGGACCACCCTGTACCTTGAAATTTAAAATTGATTATCTGAATCAGAACCAAAAATTCTGAACTTGTTGAATTCATATTTATGTTTAAAAAAAGTCTATTTATTTTTAAAGTAAGAATTTGGGATAAATTTCCAGAAATTAGTCTGAACAAACCAACATTTAATAAATAATGATTATTTTTCATTCTTATTAACTTTAAATGTGCAAGTAACAATGATTCGCGCTGAAATGTGTGTGTTTGTGTGACGTCACGAAAAGAAGTCAAGACGCTCACATTAAAGAAACGAATAAATTTAAGCCATTGAAATAATCAATTAATTTATTAAACAAACAATTTTTTGGAAACAACAAAGACTAAAACTAGCATTTACTTTATTAAATAAACAAGAAGGGATTAAATATTGGCTACTCAAAGTGTTAAAAAAAATTGCCTGAGTGGATTCCGGGAATTCTCGTATGTTTCCGTGAAATCACGCACAACTTTAGATAAGGATCACGATACTTAATTTTAACTTTGAAACAAATTGACAGTCAATTTGTATGCGGTCACTGCATACTTTTTTTTTAAGTTTGTCCTTTATGGTTATTTTAATTTTTTTCAATTCTGATACAATGAAAGGCCCAGTTTCGAATCCCGGTGGGTTTATTTTTTTATAAATAATAAATTTTAAAAAATTCTTTTATCTTTTTTAAAAAAAATCTCATGCTTCCTCTTCCATGAGATGAAAAATAACAATTGCATTTTATTTTAATTTTCATAACATAAAGAACTGAGACATTAAAAATTAAAACCATTTATTTTAACTTTTAAAGTTAAAACATTTTACGTTTACCTTTTCAGAAACGAAGTTATTTCTTATTAAAATTTGTTGGAAAAGAAAAACCTATTTTTTAATAGAAAATCTTCAATGCCTAGCTTAAATAACCACTGAGTGAGATATCTGCATTCTAATGCAATTCAATTAATTAACGAAATTTGATAAATCTTCCAGTACTTATTCATTGATTATTGAATAAATTTATTTATGAAAAAGTTACTATTTAAAAAACAGTAATCAAAATAGTACTTAATTGTAAAAATAAAATGTATCTCTCTCAGAAGTTAGGAAATATTTACAAGATTTTAAAAAAGTAAACAATGATTTACAGTGATATTCATCTTCGACAAGGCCCAAGAGCCACTCAAGGTAGAGAGTTCAGAGTATAAGAGGCTCCGTATATGGGGAACAGTTAACAACCTAGGTAATTCCATGAGAATGAGATCACTAAAAAAAAGAGCATAGCTTGATGAAAAAGACGCTAAACTTGACGAAAACAAAATTTTATCATCTAAAAAATGTTTGTTATTTATGAAGAGGAAAGACCAAAGTTTTTTTTAATTATTTTTAAAAAATTTTCCTTCTTTTTAGAACATTCTAAATTTTAATTAAAAAAACCTTGTTTCTCTTTGTATCACCGGAACTAGTAAAATAACAGAGACAATTTTTAGCACGTTTTTTTTTTTTTTTTTTATGACACATTAATTTAGAATTCAGCTCTGAATTGTAACATACAAAACTCAATAAAACAAAGATATTATTTAATTTCAAATGCTTTTATTTGTTTTTATGAATATGGACAATATTTTCTGAAAGCAAAAAATTTTTTCAATGAAAAATGAATTTTTAATACAATTATTTGTTATTTCTTTAATTATAATAGATTTTTAAATTTAAGTTGTTAAAATATTATAAAATTAGTTAAAAGCTGCATCCACTTTCCTAAGTGTCCTTATGAGATAGATCTTTTTTTAGCACATTGGAAATTGTATCGTTTTGACTAATCAGAAGATCCGCAGTAATTAAGAAACGTAATTTATCTTTATAATCGGGCTGTAATTATAAA